TCAACAGGAAACAATACAGAAGTGGCAAATCAAATGGGAATCTGCCTTGCTTTTGAAGTTGCTTATGGGGAAGGGGAAGGGGCAGGGGCAGGGGCAGAGGCTGGCCTGTCCCATGCCCAAGTGCTGTGGGAAGCCTCATTGTCTAGGGGTCAAGTGGAGAGCATGGAAAAGCCAGAGAGGAAGCCAGACAGTTCAAGCCCTCCCAGCTGCTCCAAGGGAGGCTGTAAACAGGAAGAGGAGCCGGGTGCTGAAGCTGGGGAGGGGAGGCAAGTCTTGGGAACAGCTAAGATGGGGTAGGGCAGTGGCCTGAGACAGAGGCCGCGGAGGATACAGGAAGTTGCTCTACCCCAGGCCAGAGCCTATAGAGGGTGTGGGTGTGGGAACTCGGGTCTCCGTGGATTCAGTTGATCTCTCTACTTGTCTGCATTCGGTAACCCACCTGGGCTGGTGATGTTCCATCTTGGGCCGTATTGTACAGCTAATGACCAAGCAGGGTTCTGGTGCTTGCTTCTTGCAAAGGTCCCAGCTGTTGGGTGGACCGTCCTGGAAGGGCCTCTTGTCCGGTCCATTCTCGGCCATTGTCTTTTCTTCCCCTTGCAGACTTAATGCGCTGTTTTTCAAGTTCTTTGACCTGACATAAGTAAATGCTCTTGCTTACCAAGCTGGCATTATCTGTCTTTTCTCTCTGTAATTCAATATGTGCAGTGGCTGTCCATGGGTTTACAAGAAGGTAAGAGGTTCTGTCACCTAATATGTGACAGAGTATTGAACCCAGGCCCGTTTAATCCCTCCCTGGTGAATGCCCTGCCACAGTGCTCTGCAAAATCGGGACCCTGCGCCTGTCTGACATTGTCAGCAGCAGCCTTTTCCCCTGCCTCCACCCTCCAGGACCAAGAAATCAGTTAGCAGAGGCTGCTCCCTGGGGACACTTCCAGTCTTGAGTGTGAAGCCTACCAGCCCTCAGCTTGAGGGAGTCTTGTTAAGGTTTGTGAACTCTTTAGGACTAGTGACCCTTCTTAATCAAAACCCAGTCACTTTGTACAGTGTAAAGTATAAACTTGTGAAACAGAATTAGGGATTTAGACAGGAAAAGATGCAGAGAGCTATAAAACAAGCAAGTAATTAGCAAACTATGGTCTAGGATCTCTATACCTAAAAAAAAAAAACCAAAAAAACAAAAACATGTTGGTATTTGAATAATAATAATAATAATAATAAACTTTTGTTGTTGTTTTAAATTCTTTTTGCTCTTTTTTTTTGGGGGGGGGGCAAATAAACCACACACAGAGGCTTAGTCTTATGAATGCCTGGCTTTAGCTCGGCTTGGTTTCTAACCAGCTTTCCTTAACTTTAATTATCCCATCTACCTTTTGCCTCTGGACTTTTCCCGTTCTCTTAATTCTGTAAATCGTACTCTTACTCCGTGGCTTGCTGTGTAGCTGGGTGGCTGCTCCCTGGAGACCTCCTCTTTCTCTTGCTCTTTCTTCTCCTCCCAGTTTTCTTCTATATATTCTCTCTGCCAGCCCCGCCTCTCCTTTCTCCTGCCTTGCTATTGGCCATTCAGTTCTTTATTAGACCATCAGGTGTTTTAGACAGGCACAGTAACACAGCTTCACAGAGTTAAACAAATGCAACATAAACAAAAGTAACACACCTTAAAATAATATTTTACTACAATAAACTCAGGGTGTATGGATATGCTCTATATGAACACACCCTCAGGGTTGGAGAGGTCCATAGTCATATGTCCTCTTGTACCCCCAAACACTTAGAAACCCCGAGATCCTCTTGTGCTATCAGCTTTGGCTACATTAGGGCACATGTTTAACTCATCTCAAAGCCTCCACTTCATCCACCTAAAAGTCTCTTTATCTGTGTCAATGAGTCCTTTATACCAATGGAAAATATACTTAGTGCAGAGTAAGTTAATGCAGCCATTGACTGCCCCGGAAAGCTGCTGGTCCAGTCTTGCTGCCACTCATTCCCTGCCCTGAACGCAGGTTGGTAGCCCTTATTCCTGAGTGGTTCCAGAGCCCTGTGGCTACTCCCCGCCCCAGCCCCTCCCCGCTTCTCCTTGGGCTCTGCTCCTGGGGTCAGGGCTCCCCATGTGTCTACCCTGTTTCCACACCGCTGGTCATTGTATCTTACTTGTCTTGTGTGTTTGCAGTTTGTGCTAGCTCCTTTTGTGTCCCAGATACTTTCTCTCTCAAGGGTACCTGGTATCGAATCCAGCTAGCAGTTGGCCCTAACTGAATGTTTGCGCACAGGCACCCAGTGAGCCTTGGCTGACTGAACGTGAGGAAAAGTGTAAATGTGTAGACTGGATCTGACACCAACTGCAGAACATGGTGGCATCATGGGAGTCTTCTTAGAGCAGTGGTTCTCAGCCTGTGGGTTGTGACCCCTTTGGGGTTTGCATATCAGATATCCTGCATATCAGATATCCTGCATATCAGATATTTACATTGCGATTCATAACAGTAGCAAAATTATAGTTATGAAGTAGCAACTGTGGTGATATTGTGTCCCCCAATATATTGTGCACCCTAATAAACTTATCTGAGGTCAGAGAACAGAACAGCTAAATAGACATAGAGGTCAGAAAATGGTGGCACACACACCTTAATCCTATCACTCTGGAGGCAGAGATCCATCTGGATCTCTGTGAGTTTAAGGCCACACTGGAAACAGAGCCAGGCATGGTGACACACGCCTTTAATCCCAGGAAGTGATGGCAGAAAGCAGAAAGGTATATAAGGCATGAGGACCAGGAACTAGAGGCTTTTAGGCTCTTAAGCTTTTAGGCTGTTAGCAGCAGTTCAGCTGAGATCCACTCAGAGAGGACTTAGAGGCTTCCAGTTTGAGGAAACAGGATTGGCTGAGAAGTTGGCACGGTGAGATTAGCTGTGACTTGTTGTGTCTCTCTGATCTTTCAGAATTTGCCTCAATACCTGGCTCCCAAGTTTTTTCTATTAATAAGACCATCTAGGGTTTGTGTTACAAGCAACCAAATAATTTTATGGTTGGGAGTCATCACAACACGAGGAACAGTATTGAAGGGTCGCAGCCTTGGGAGGGTTGAGAACCATTGTCTTAGAGTGATGAAGCCATGTTGGACATGAGACATCACAGGGGAAGGAGGAAGACTTCTGTATGATCCCTCCTCATCTCACCCTTCCATGAACTGGGATTGTCAGCCCCTTCGCACACATGTGCAGACTGAAGTCCTCATGGGTTAAGGACCTGCATGGTACTATTTATGGATGATAGTTTGGAAACATTAGTTCTGTCCTAACCCAAAGCACACAGAGTTCCGCCCCAATGCTAAGCTCTCTCTTCTTCCTGATTGGACTGTGTGATGGTCAATCTTTGTAACTGGGCAGGACCTGGAGCCACCCAGGAGACACACCTCTAGGTGTGGCTTTGAGGGTGTTTCCAGTGAGGTTTTGATTACAGAGACCACAGTCCCAAATCAGATCAGAAGATCTGTAGTTAGAAATTCCCTCAGGTATCTGTGAATCTTTCTGGGATGCTGGAGCTGTTGTTTGCTGATAGTGGTATCATATGTCTTTCACTTTTCTTTCCTGTATATGTCTTTGTCATTGTGTGCACAGCCCTAAGGAGTTAGAGGATACAGTCCTTGCTCTCTGCTCTCACTTGGGGGATGCAGGTCTTCCTGTCTGACTGCCTCATTCAGAGTGGGATTTAGATGAGGAAGGCTATGTGCCATACCTCTGCATCAGTGTTGATCTTAAGATGAGAAGTGAGGAGTGTTCAGATGGCTAGAGGTAGTTTTAATGGGATGCTATTCAGCTCCAAGTTTGGCAAGCATGACTTTGGAAAGCAGACCACTAGAATCACAAAGCACACATTGAAGTGTCATGGGTACCAGGTGGGAACATGGTGCTTAAAATCAAGTGGCAAGGGCTGGAAGTGAGAATTAAGTTCTTCAGATGCAGGGATGTGTTTATGCAAACAGCAGGCAATCTCTGGGGGGTGGGATGGATCTTTAGACAGGTGTTGACCTGAGAGCTTGAAGGTCCACCTTTTTCCCCTCCCCATTCTCCTCTTGGATGCCTGGCTCAGCATGGATGATCAAACAGCCAGCATGGCTAATGCAGCATAACCACTGTGCAACAGGCCAACCCAGGTGGGCAGGGGACACCAGCCCTAGGTGGCTTGGGATGTGACAGAGGAAGTCCTGCGGTGTGGGGAGTGAGTGTCACTGAAGGTCTACTGTATACATTTGACTCCCTTAAGTGAGCCTGACTGCCAAGCACACCCTCGCTGTCCAGAGCTGGACATTCTAGAAGACGGGCTTGCTTAAGAAGCACACAGGGCTGAAGTTGTGTCTGGAAGCCCAGTGGGGAAACTGCATGCCTTATGAGGGCAAGAAGGGCCTCGGAGATGGGCTTCATTGGGTCCTTCCCCTCAGATGTTTCTCCACCACAAACTGGGGAAGAGTCAAATCCAAGCAGTTGACTACCTTAACCAAAGCCGCTCTTTTTTTTTTTTTTGGTTTTTCGAGACAGGGTTTCTCTGTGTAGCTTTGCGCCTTTCCTGGAACTTGCTTTGGAGACCAGGCTGGCCTCGAACTCACAGAGATCCGCCTGCCTCTGCCTCCCGAGTGCTGGGATTAAAGGCGTGCGCCACCACGCCCGGCTCAAAGCTGCTCTTTTGTGGTTGCTAAACTTGACCCTTCCAGAAGGCACTCTTATCAAATGCACCTCAGAGGGTTGGAGGGAAGGATGCCGGTGTGTGTGTGGTCCTTTGCCAATTCTGAGGATGAGCACCAGATTGTAAAATGACCGCACACAGACCTGAGGTGGGGACCCCTGGATGAACCTCCCTAGAGGACCTTCTCTCCATCCACAGTCACTTGCTGCCCCCTCCCCAACCAACCTGGTCCCATTGTAACCAGGAGGTGCCATTGATTCTCAACTGTGTTTCTGTGGAAGCCACCGGAAGGAAGTCTTGAGTGTGCACGTTTCTCGTTTCAGACTGTTCTGCGATGACCACAGCGAGGTACCGGCCCACCTGGGACCTGGCCCTCGACCCGCTGGTGTCCTGCAAGCTGTGCCTCGGGGAGTACCCAGCGGAGCAGATGACAACCATCGCCCAGTGCCAGTGTATCTTCTGTACCCTGGTTGGTCTCTCGGCTCAAGTAACACGTTCAAGGAGGTTGTTGCTCTCACGCCCGGACACACCAGGCCACACTGGGCACTAAATTTTTGTGGGAGCCTAAGTGGCTGTTCAGACTCACACATAAGAGAGGAATTCTTCAGGCGGGTGGCCAGAGAGGAAGCTTTGTGTGACCATGGCTTGTGGTGTGGTGCCCAAGCCGTCACTTAACCAGGATTGTAGAAACCGGCGGCGACGCAGTTAAAAAAACGTAACACAGCACACATTCTTCTGGTTAGACAACAGGCTTTCCCGTACCTCCTTTTCAGTTTGAATGATAAGTACGCACTTGACAGGGTGGCAGGGCTAACCTGAGGGTCATGTGCAGCTGTAACATGTGACCATTAGGGCCATCTTTCCCCGCAGAATGCTGAATGACAGTGTCTACCGCTTGAGGTCAATTTTCTTACAATTTCTTGGGATCAGATGATCTGTTCTCAACAGGAATATAGAGACTCCTAACTCAAGAGGTTTGGGTTTGGGTCTAATTCAAACATGATTTTTTTTTCTTTTTTCTTTTCTATTTTGTTTTTGAACATATGTGTGTATGTTCATCTGCTGTGTGTGTCTGTGTCTGTGTGTCTGTGTGTGTGTGTCTCTGTGTGTGTGTGTGTGTGTGTGTGTGTGTGTGTGTGTGTGTGTGTGTGTGTGTGTATGCTGCGTATAGGCCAGAAGAGATCATCAGATCCCTATAGTTGGAGTTATGGGCAGTTTAAGCCCCTTGATATAGGTGCTGGGAACCAAACCTGGGTCCTCTGGAAGAGTAGCATGTGCTCTTAACTGCTGAGCCATCTCTCTAGCCCCAAACTTAGAATTTTTATCCAGCATAAAAGAAACAACAACAAAAACTTAGCAGGAAAAAAAAGAGTAGTTTAAAAATGAAGAAAACGTTGTTGACTTGGTTTTTTTTTTTTTTTTTCCTTGGTGCTTAAAGAATAGGAGCGGAAACATTAATAGAGCAGGTCGGAAACATTAATAGAGCAGGTCGGACAAGGCAGTGTTGCCCAGAAGGTGCAGGTGCGACTGTGTGACCTGACTCTGATGTGTAGAGTGTCGGGATGGGTTAGAATGCTGTACTGAGTGTGAAGCTGTGCTGTTCCAGCCTGAGTGTTCTCACCAGCGTGAAAGGCAAAGCACAGTAGCAACCGCAAGGCTACCATATGAGCTTCATTGATCCCTTCGCGTGCAGGGCTGGGGAGAAGGCTCAGTATTCACAGGGGCTGGCCATGCAAGGCTGAAAACCCGAGTTCAGATCACCAGAGCTCACATACAACCAAAAGCACAGCATGAGCGTCTGTAAGCTAAGATGGGAGGTGGGGACAGGAGGGTCCCTGGAAACGCCTGGGTCGCCTGGCCTGGCTTACACAGAGGAAAGAAAAGCAGTGAAGACAACCTGTCTGAAGTGAGGTGGAAGGTGAGGACCAAGGACATCTGAGGTTGTCCTCTGCGCACACCTGCATTCACACACCTGAATGCACCCGCTGCACGCGCGCGCACACACACACACACACACACACACACACACACACACACACACACACACAGGGAAACATCAAGTCAGGCACCTTAAGTGTGCTGTTTGTGTTTGTCAGGTACATATTATTACAACTGGATGGCAAAATAAAATACTACAGTGTCTTTAAAAAGCATAGAAGTGGGGCGAGAACCCTCTATAGACTCTTCTTTGAAAAGCCCCATTGCTTTGAACTTGATGTCATTCTGCTGCAGAGTGTGGGCAGCTAGCTGCCCGTGGAGCTGAGATGAGAACATGGCTGGAAGTCTTTCCTACCTCCTTGCCTGGGTGTCTTCGCTGTCCTGCCCATGGCCTGCACCCTCTCTTTCATTTATGCCTTCAGATCGAGGAGCCTGAGCCTTAATTAACCCCACATCTCATTCCCAGTAGGTTCTAGTCTGCCTCTCGGAAGCAGAGAAGACTTTCTGGTTCATTATGTATCCCCTCAATCCCTGGCTTAGTGCAGGACTCATAATAGCTAATCAATAAAGGCTCAGGACATGAACCAAAGTGATTTGGTCTCTCTCCGAGCTCACATTCAAAGACACGTGCCTCATTAAAGCCCCGGGAAAAACTAGCATCAACCTGCTGGAAAGGAAATTGCTTCTGATGCTTTCAGGAGGTGGGGGAGAGCAGCCGGGGGAACGGGAGACTAGAAGATGATGGAGTGGTTCCTCCCCATCTGATTAATGCGGGGCTCAGATCTCAGCCAGTAGATGAGCTGGGACGGGAGCTTGTCAAGTTGTGCTGAAAAGTTGGCGTTCTGCAGAGTGCCTTCCAATTGCCCGAAGGGACATTTCTGAGGTTCCCACCAGTCCCCCCAAGCCCCTCTGCTGTCAGGGCTTTGGGGCACACCTGCTTCTCTCCAGTCACCTGGGGCCGTCAGAGCCACCGCGTGCTCTTTCCTCTGGAAAGACTCGTCTTCCTGCCCGCGTGCCAAGCCTTTCCTTTCGTTCTTGGTTTTGTTTCCGCGTCTAGAGAATTCTTGTAAAATAAACAAACAGCTCTAACTCACGCCCAGGGCTTCATTTAAGTGGAGGAATGTAAGAAACAGCCATTGTTTTCCTCAAAGAAGCCAGGCCAAGAAGTACCAAGGAGCAGTGTAATTTTATGGCAGTTGTAATTTTTTTTTTTTTTCTCCTCTGTAGCTATTTTCTAAAACTGAGAATGTTGGAGACAGGCGTCCGGTCTGTGTCGTGTCTGTAGCTCTGGGGTGTGATGTCATAGGGACACCTGTGTGTTGGCTGAGAAGGGTACATGGTGTCAACTTGCCATGTCAGTTACACAACATCTCCTCTGCTGGGGTCACTGGGGTCACTGGGGTGAGGATAAGCCATCGAGGAGCTAGGACCCCTAATCAGACAGCCAGGAAAGCTGGTCAGTTGTGCCACACTGAAGGAAGGCGCCCTGCTTCAAGACAGAGCTACACAGGGAATAGTAATGTTGGATCCGGGGAAGGAAGATGTTTTTCCCACAAGGCCCTCTTGATGGCGTGGGTCAGGCTGGCGTCTGTGGCTGGCCATTGTGTGGGGCCGGTGAGTCTCCACAGGAGGAGTGGCCAGCTGTGGAGTGATGAGCTTGTGCTCCACTACCAATGGTTCTTTGTTGGTAATTAGGAACCTGGCAAGGTTTCAGACTCCCAGTCTTCTCTGGTCTTCATATCCTGGAATGTGCGTTGTCTCTGAGCACCAGTTCATGAGCTTTGTCTCTTTTCGGTCACTGGCGCCTCCTTCCTGTCCCAACCTGGGTCTCTTTGTGGTGCATGTCGCCTGCTCATGTCTGTGGTTTATACCAGGACTGGGCCTTTTTATCTTCATCTCCATAGGGTTTATGAACAGATGCGGTGACTTGAAGGGTCATTTCATAGCCACGTGTCCCTAGATGAAGAGGAGGAGGAATGTCACCAGTAACTGAACCAAAAGAACAATTCTTTCCCAGGAAAAGACCTAGCCTTAGGACCTGACTCCTGGATTAGCTAAGGTGGGTCCATTGATTGGTTCAGCCAGGGGCCTGGAACCTGTCTCCGATCTCTGGGCTAGTCTTGCTAAACCTCAAGACCCAGCAGGCAGGGAAGGGTTCTGAAAGAACACAGGATGCTGCTCAGGGGGACAGTCGGAATGTTCCTCTGAATGTGGAGAATGAATACCTTCCATGCTAAAGACTTCAAAGCTCTGCCTTAGCAGCTGCTTCCTCTCTCTACAGCCACAAAGCACCTCCATTACTAGGCTCCTCCCACTGCCTTGGCTTCCCTCTTAGCCCTCTTTGAAGCTTCTTGACTCCTCCGTCATTCTGGATTCAAACTTATTCTTGCCTTCGCCAGGCACTGTGGTTCTTGTTTACGGATCTAGCTCTGCTGCTGTGAGGAGTCTGCCGGGACAGCAGAATTGTGCACCCCTTTACTTGTAGGTTTATTAGGGTTTGGAGAAACGAAATCTGTCTTACCATGTTGAGGTCAGCCTGCCCTGGTCAGAGAAGATTCTAGCAAATAGTTTCCAAAATGTTACTGAGCTTAGGTACTGTAGTGGTTTGAAAGAAAATGCCCCCCAAAAGGAAGTGGCACTATTAGGAGATGTGGCCATATTAGAGTACGTGTGGTCTTGCTGAAGGAAATGTGTCACTGTGAAGGCAGGCTTTGAGGTCTCATATATGCTCGTTACACCCAGTGAGACAGACCACTTACTGTTGCCTACAAGCGAAGATGTAGGGCACTTGGCTGCTCCTCAGCATCATGTCTGCCTGCATGCCACCATGCAGCACTATGATGATAATGGACTAAACCTTGGAAAATGTAAGCCATGCCAATTAAATGTTTTCCTTTATGAGAGTTGCTGTGGTCATGGTGTCTCTTCACAGCAATAGAAACACTAAGACAGGTACTTTTGTATAGATGCACATCACAGGGAAAACTGGTGAGTGTGAACAGACTGTCCTGCCAAATGGAGTTAGGATCCAAGAGCCTGCTGGTGAGTCTCACCCTGCATCCTCGTGTCCAGAGGTCAGGCCTCATCTCTGGATCAGGGAGGGAGGCAGATGAGGGAACCAGGGAGCAGAAGAGGAGAGCATCCTGGTGTTGGTCCACCTGGTGGGGAAAGGCTAGGTAGGTGACTTCAGGTGCAGGGAGTGAGTTTCTATGTCAAGAGGCTGCTGATTCCAGCTGCCCAGGGGCCTGAACTGACTTTTGTGTTCTGTGCTCTGAATAGCTTCCTGACCGGAATGGATTCCTCAGATTCTCTCACACAACTCATGTGCCACAAGCAGAGCATTTCCATGCTCACCTCAGACTCAAGGTTCTTGTAAAACTCCCTCATTAATACTTGACAGAAGGAATTGGGGGTAACATGCATTGATGGTTTAGGGTGGTGCTGGTTGGTTTTTGTTTTTTGTTTTTTTTTTTTTTGTCAACTTGACATAAATCTAGACATGTCTGGGATGAGGGAACCTTAATAGAGAAA